TCTGGGAGGTTTGTGTCACGGCAAGTGTATGTGTATAGACCAGGTTTTCTTTATCCATTTGTCTGTTGAGGATTGGATACTTTTATGTTCATGCTTAATGTGCTGGGAATAGAACGATTACCGCTGGGATTTTTGGGAGATCTCAGATCAGACAATAACATTGAGGAAAACAGATGGTAAAATATGCAGAGAAAAGGCCTATTTTATTGGTCTGCTATATTTTAAATGGAAATTTTCTTTAATATGCATGAAACAGTTGTCTGTCTTTAGAGCAGTCACAATTGAATTGAGGTGTTCTCCACCCTAAGAAACTAATTTTTTTCTGATGACAGGCATTTGATTTATTGTGTAGACAAACCCCTGGGGGTTTCTCCTTACTGTCTGCCTCTTGGACATGCCCTTGAGTGAGTACTAATGTGTCAGCTTTCGGGGAGAGGGACACATCTTGTCTCCTGGTACCTGAAACCAAACTCACTCATCTTCTCACTTGATGTGCTTCTCCCAGAGGCTTATTCTTTGTTGTTTTTTGTTGTCTTGTTTTTGGTTTTTTTTTGGAGACAGAGTCTCAAGCTGTCACCCTTGGTAGAGTGCTGTGGCATCACAGCAACCTCCAACTCTTAGGCTTACGTGATTCTTTTGCCTCAGCCTCCCAAGAAGCTGGGACCACAGGCACAGTGGAGGCCCATTCTTACATTGCAAATTAGAGACCTTAATATTATCCAGGACTCCTTCACAAACTCACCTCTGGCAACAATCGCCAGAGCCAGCCGAGCTCTGTGTCTGTATCTCCGTCACCCCTCACTTCTGGGTGTCTTAGAGTCCTGCCACTGTTGGTGCAGGTAAGTGTCCGTGTCGGGAGATGGGAGAAGTCATGTAATGACCGCCCTGGAGAGGCTTGGGCTCAGTAAATACATGTGGAGCAGAATCCATTGATCTGTTCTTTTCCATCTTTTTCAGTTAACGGAGGTGCTTGGGAGAGAGAATTTGCAGACTGTCATTTCATATTTAGGAAGGAGGGATAAGGGCCAGGCGAGGAGGCTCATGCCTGTAATCCTAGCGTGGCACCGAACTGGACTAGTGGTTGTTGTATTCTTCACTGCCATACACTTTCAATACAAAAAAAAAATTACTAGCTTTACTTACGAATGTCTTTGATAAAAGGTAAAAAATGATTTTTATTAAATTTTGCCTTCTGAGTATGTATCTTTCTGGAATGGAATTGACCACGGAATCCAACTGCTGCATATCAAGGGGTGAGGTTGTCTTGAGGTGTGGCATCTGTGTGATTGAGCTGTGGCCTGAATTGGCCACTTATCTTCATAAGACACCAATTTTGCTTGAATGACTGGCAAACTGTGGTTATTCATACTTGGATAGTTGGCTGATGTATTCTAAAACAATGAATGAAGTTATCTTGTCACCTCAGGGAAGCAACTAACAGTATTTGTTGCCAACCAACTTGTATTTACTACTGTGAACTTCTAATTAGGGATTTTCTGATTAGTAGTGACATTAACCAATAAGAGTTTTTTTTTAATTAGTGTCCTGCCGCCAAGAGGTGTGTCACACACCATGAACCAGTAACACTTTTAATATAACTTGGTGAAGTTTGTTAACATTCGGAAGACGCACATAACTCACTGAACCATGGTTTTCCCAAAGACCAAGAGTTATAAAATTAGACAGGATTTAGAGACCCATTTAAAGCATTAGTAGACCAGTGAGTTCCATGTAGCAAGATACAAAAGGTTCATTGATGAGATTTCAGATTCCACATCACAACTAACCTTTGAGAAACGACCATGTGTTGCATTTTAGAGTGTTATCCAAAGTGAACATCCAGGATTATCTGCAAAAATTAATAAACTATCATTTCCTCTTACCATTACTTTGCTGTGTGTTTGGATTTTATTCGTATACTTAAAGCAACAAACGGATTGAGAGCTGAAGCAGATGAGAGAATCTAACTGTTTTCTATGAAGGCAGAAATCAAGGAGATTGTAAAAATGTAAAATAATGGTACCCTTCTTACTAAATTTTTTTTTTGCTTTGGAAAATAGTTGTTAACATTTATTCTTAAGTGAATAACAAAAACATTAAACACTCCTTGGTTTTGATTTCTGACAAATATTCATAGATATAATCTACATAAACAATAGCTCTTTAGAGTCTTAAGACCAAAACATTTGAGAATTGTTACTCGAAGAGTATTAAATTTACCTTGGCAGGAGCAAGGAGAAAAGCTACCTGCTGCGGATGGGTGGAGGGTTTAAATATTAATACTCCTACATTATTAGAGCAGCAACAGGGGCGGTAGTGCTGGTTGGTGGGTAAGAACTGGGTTTTCTGGGGCGGGGGTTAAATGCAGTAATATAGTAAAGTGCTCAGAGCATCATTTTTATCTGTTTGTAATAGTGGAACAAGAAGAACCAACTCAATTGTGGCTTGTTCATATTGTTAAACTAAAACACTTTATATTCAATGAATTTTTTGGATGCCTCCTTCATGCTTTCTCCTTGTGGAGAAGGAAAAGGTGAATACAATTCCGCCTGTTTACGATCTTCATGGGTTTTTTTTTTCCCCTGACTCTAGTATTTTCAGTTTTTTTTTTGAGACAGAGTTTCTGTTGCCCTGGAGTGGAGTGCTGTGGTGCTCACAGCAACCTCAACTCCTGGGTTCAAGTGATCCTCCTGCCTCAGCCTCCTAAGAAACTGGGACTACAGGCGCCTGCCACAATACCTGGCTAGTTCTTCTATTTTTCATAGAGACAGGGCCTCACTTATACTCAGGCTGGTCTTGAACTCCTGAACTTAAGCAGTCCACCCACCTCAGCCTCCCAGAGTGCTAGGATTACAGGCATGGCCACTGTTCCCGGTCAGTATTTTTAATCTGAAAAACCAAACCAAACCAGAACCCTCCTTTGCCATTTATTAGTTTGCTTTTGAGAATCAGGGATTGTCTTCGAGTTTCAAATGTTCTGGGAAATCCAGTTGTCTCTTAGCCCTTTGAACTTGCTGAAGTAGTAACTCCAAGATTCAAAGTTCTACCTGGTTTCAGGTGCCGACATGACTGGGAGATGGTTTCCCCAAAGTGGTCCTCTAAGAGCTGCTTGAAGAGAAGCCTGGGCCTTCCTGTGACGTGGCCCATTCTGGACACCTCCCTGCTGACCGAGGCTCTGTACAGTGAAGCCAGAGAAATGCCTGTGACAGGAAGGTCCTGCTTACTCATTTAGGACACTGGCCAGGATGGAGGGTGCTTTGTAGATGCTGGAGGCCTGGTGGGCCGAGCAGAGGCCCTACCTGCTTTATGTGTCTGTATTTGAAGATAGGATCTCACTGTGCTACCTGGGCTGGTGTGCAGTAGTGTCATCATAGCTCACTGCAGCCTCAGCCTCCTTGGTTCACTATCCTGTTGCTTGAGCCTTTGAGAACTGGGACTACAGGGGCATCACCACCCCCAACCCCACCTGCCTTACATGAGTGTGCTAAAGAGTAAACCTTGGTGACCCCTACAGTGTGAAAGCATATTTTCAGAAGACAGTATTTTCCTTTTTTTCCCCTTTAATTTGGGTATGGGTATGATGAGAGATTGCAGGAAAGCTGTTACTACTTCTGGTGTTTTAACTTACAATTACTGTCTTAACATCAACTGAGGGTACTGAGTTGAGTGCAAGTTGAGGTCTTATTGGAAATATTCTCAACTGTGGGTTGACTTTTTCTCCCTTTATGGTTGAGGGCGTGGGGCACCAGAGTTGGCTCTGAAGGCTTACCTGCCCTTTTTACTAAGGAGAGATCTTGGTGAGTGAGAGGGTGGGGCCCCGGGTTGGTTGTGTCAGTGTGTAAAATGCCTGTCTTTAGGCAGGGTGGGAGGTTTGCTGTCAGAACCAGCAAAGCAAGCTGGGCCACTCTAGTTCACTCTGTGACATGCTTGCTGGGCTGCTGGGGACAGAATGGGGAAAATGGAATTCTCAAGCCCTATGTGATCAGAACGTCTTGACCTTTTGAGGCCATTCCTGATTTTATGGTCAGTCAGTGGTAAAGCTGATGAAGAAGAGCTAGAATATTTAGAACCTTGGAAACAATGAGAAAATAGCTTTTCTAAGTGATCTTCTCTAAGGAGATGGCAGTAAAACAAAAATTATTCACAGCTTACTAAATATTTCTGTTTTAACCATCGCTTCTCTAGTCTGGTTCTTTCATTCCAAAGCCAGCATCTTGAGTGTTAGCACAAGAATTTTAGGACGCTGTGTTATTTCATCTGGCACCTTTTTGTACCATACCCTATGATGGATATGTGGATATCTTGATAACAGTTATAGTCAAGATTTAAAACCTTTGCTAGAGGCCGGGCACAGTGGCTCATGCCTGTAATCCTAGCACTCTGGGAGGCTGAGGCAGGCGGATTGCCTGAGCTTACAGGTTTGAGACCAGCCTGAGCAAGAGCAAGACCCTGTCTCTAAAAGTAGGTGGGCATTGTGGGCGCCTGTGGTCCCAGCTATTGAGGAGACTGAGGCAAGACAATCGCTTAAGCCCAAGAGTTTGAGGTTGCTATGAGTTATGACACCAGGGCACTCTACCAAGGGCAACAAAGTGAAACTCTCTTTCAAAAAACAAACAAACAAAAAAAAACTTTGCTAGAATCCATTAACTTTTTCTGATGTTTATGGCTCTCTCTACAGGAAACCTCTGTTGCATCAGATACCAGCTGATATCAGCATTGTGTGATGTCAATTCTAAACCTCAGTTCAGCTTTTGTTTGCCTGGACTTCGCTTGAGTGACATTTTATCCCTTTATCACAGGGCCTGGTTTACAGTATGCACTTGACCGGCTTCTGGTCGGCAGACGCAGCAATTCAGTTCCTGAATCCAAAAACAAGACTTTGGATTAGCTGACAATCATTAGTGCTAATTTGAGTTTCAGCTTGTTTTGAAGGGCTGGAAGAATAAAAGTTCTCACAGTTAATGCTGTTTCTTTTTTCTTACAGAGTGTTTGAAGAGAAAATGCCAGTTATCAGGATGCTGAGGCGGGTAGTGGGCCCAATGCTATTGCGCCCAGCCTGTGGCTGTTCGACATCTGTCTTGCCAGTCCGGTTTCTGGGCACCTCCCCTCGGCAAGTTGCAGCAGATGCCAACTACCACTCTGCCTCTTTCTCTGAAACAGACCATCCACGTGTCTTAATTACAGGTTGGTTTTTTTTTTTGTTCTTTTTTTCCATGTTGGTGACTCGATTCTTTCTTTCTGTGCTGTTTTGTGTGACTATCTCTTTGTTTTTGGAATCTGTAACGTGCTGTCAGAGCCTCCCTGTCTCCATAGCAGCAGATGGTACAGTCCAAGCAGGTTGACTAGATAGCATTCAGAGTCTGGATTTATTTACTGTATATAAGGGATCACAGATTGAGAGGTATTTCATAATATACTCTTTCTTTTTCTTTGAGACAGAGTCTCACTCTGTTGCCCTGGGTGGAGTAGTATGGTGTCATAGCTCACAGAATCTCAAACTCTTGGACTCATTTGATCCTCCTGAGCAACTGGAACTACAGGCACCTGCCACAATACCTAGCTTTTCTGTTTTTAATAGAGACAGGGTCTAACTCTTGCTCAGAGTCTTAAACTCCTGAGCTCAGGTAATTCACCTGCTTCAGCCTCCTAGAGTGCTAGGATTATAGGCATGAGCCACCACACCCAGCCATAATATAAAATTTTTTATTAGAGAAGCTAATTTTATTGATCAGACACTCCATTTTCCACTGTTAACTTGTTCGAGAATATTGCAAATCCAAAATCCTTATCTGATCATCTTGCCAATGCTTGAGTTCCCTGCCATAATCTTATTTTGTTGTCTGAAAAGACCTAGGAATCTGGGAGCCAAACAGGTGCTCTGAAAGGGTACCAGGACCAAAACATTGAGTCTGGAGTCAGACACCCCTTTTCTTGGCCAAATCCCTCAACCTAAACTTAGTGTCATTCATCCCAAACTGTTGTTGCACATTTGAGTATGAGAAGGCAAGTTAGCATCTGCTTGAGCTCGTTGTTGCCATTGAGCTCATCATTGCTCCCTGATCCTCCTTACCTTGAATATACCTAGCATCTGACTGTTCCTTCTACACTTGGCTCTTCACTTCCTGCCAGCCCAAGCCCACTTCTGATATGATTGACACATTTTCTTTCTCTTCCTTGTTAAGTTTTCTTCCATTGGCTTGACATCATTCTCCTTCTCCCTTTCCTCAGTTTATATGTGTATGTGCAGGAAATCTCACTTGTATGTCTTCCTGTCTCATGGGTTTGCCCTAAGTGAAATTCACTGTTGTCTTCTCTAGATGTGCTCCTAGCCAGTGTTCCCATTTCTATTAGTGGCATCTTTAAGCCTGATATAAACCACCACGACTGGTTGATTATTTCTGTGGAGATGGAGTCTCATGATGTTGCCCAGGCTGGTCTGGAACTCCTCGTTTCAAGCAGCCCTCCTGCCTCAGCCTCCCAAAGTGCTGGGGTTACAGGTGTGAGCCATCACACCTGGACATTTTTAACTCTTAGTGGCTCATTGCTGATTCATTTCCCCCTTGTTCAAACGACTTCTGGGTTTCTCCCTTATTGCCTGTTCACATCTCAATCCATTTCTAATGCAGGGATAGGACTCTGGTTAATCCCACCAATTATTGATAATTGGTTTTGAATCTTACTGGCACCTATAGCAGACAAGCTTCGGAGCCCATCAAAGTAAGAAAGGCTGGGAGTAAATTCCTACCCCAGGAAGTTCCAGGCCAGTTCCAGGCCTGTGTTTGGCTGTTGTGTGATTTTTCTCCTCTTGTGTCCTCCTTTCCTGTCTTCTAAGCTGGTCCATGCTGGAGGGTTTTATCTCTGAAACCAGTATTGCCTGCAGTGATCTCCTTCTCCCCAGAGGGGGAGATCATTGCATGTTCTGAGTGCTGTCCCATTGTACTCTTCATTCTGAGAAGAGTGGAAGGAAGCAGCAATTAGTTCAACCTGGGGCTTTATCCCATTAGCTAGGATGAAAGAATAGTCTTACGAAGTTAGTACATTTGGAGAATAATTGGACTGGTTAGATTTGGATTACAGTTTCACTTTTTTCCTCCCTCCAGGAGGTCTTGGCCAGCTGGGAGTGGGGCTTGCTAACCTTCTGAGGTAAGAGCCCTAAAAACTTGAAATTCAAAACCTGAGTTCTTAAGTATGTGAGGTTCATCTTTGATGCTGTTTAGCCATCTTTTCTCTCTCTCCATGCCTTACCACTTTAGATATCACACCTAAATGAATATTTAAAATGCATTTCATTTTGCCTCTTAGTACGACAGACAGGTTGCAAGCCCTCGACTCATGTCCAGACCCATCCTTTACTCTCTTACCTAACTTAGGCAAAATGAGACACATAACTCTGAGTGGAGCTCTTGGGTGCTAGCTGTGTGGGGGCAGCAGGAACGACGCAGGATTTGGGGAGAGTAAGAGAAAAGAATAAGATGAGGGAAGAGAAGACTAGGGGGAGGTAAAAACTGCTGGGTACTAGGAAGAAATTGGTGACAGACATAGGACTGGCAATGGCGTGAGAGTAGAAATGAGTGACAAAGCCCGGGGCCGGGGGAAAGGCCCGAGTGTGAGAAGGGCAAGAACTGAAGTGTGTGTATCCAGGAGGAAGAGGAAGGAAGGATTTGGAGGCTGATGGGAACTTGTAGTTCCTAAGTCAAAATCATTTTCATCGGCCCCATTATATAGATATCGCCAACTTCTGTGTATTGGTATTTCCCCTCTAGGAAACGATTTGGGAAGGACAATGTGATTTTGTCCGACATACGGAAGCCTCCCGATCATGTCTTCCATAGCGGTAAGAGATCCTTAGGCCTTCCTTTTGTTTCTGTCTTTAATTTTCAAAGTGCAGTTACACAGGTGGCTCCTCAGCGCATGCAACAGGTTGTACCAGGTTCATGAATAACAGGGAGTTGAGACACAAATATGCCGCTTAGAAATATTTATATTTTTATGTGAATATAATATATGTACATAACACACATAAAGCCCTAAGTGCCTGGCATGTGCAAGTTCCATAGGAGCACTAGATGGTGTTGCCTATGGGGTGGGCTTGTTTTTCTTCCAAAGAAAAACGCTTCCTAGTGCCTGACTGGTTTAGATCCCCATTTGCTGCCAAAGAAATTGACAAGTCGTGGGAAAGAGAGGAAACGTCCATTTAGTTCTTCAAACCCCAAACATCTTCACTTCTGTGGTTTCACTTTGTGCTCCCTGTAGGCCCGTTTATTTATTCTGATATCTTGGATTACAAGAGTCTTCGGGAGATTGTGGTAAACAACCGCATCACCTGGCTGTTTCATTATAGTGCTTTGCTCAGTGCGGTTGGAGAAGCAAACGTGTCCCTGGCGAGAGCTGTGAATATAACTGGTAAGCGTCTGGCCCTTGCCCAGTGTCATCTGTTTGACAGTTTTTCTAGCCTTTGGCAAGGAGAGATTTTTCCAGATTATGACACCGTCCGTTCGTTTCAGGATTGCACAATATTCTGGACGTTGCAGCAGAGCACAGTGTGCGGCTGTTCGTGCCCAGCACGATTGGGGCTTTCGGACCTACCTCGCCCCGGAATCCGACCCCTGATGTCTGCATTCAGAGACCCAGGACCATCTATGGGGTGTCCAAGGTGCATGCGGAGCTCATGGGAGAAGTAAGCATCACCTGGCGGGATTGCCGAGTGTGCCCTGGGCAAAGCGATGGGGTGTTTTCTTCCCCATTTTTTAGCCTTCGTCTGATTGGAGGTATTTCCCATCTCCCCCAGTCCTGGATCCCAGAGTTGCTCTCTTAGCTCACTGTTTGCCAAGTGGCAGGTGTTGTCTATAGCTTATAAAGAGCTACTGAGCCACATGGCAATGCTGGACACTGCCGAGGGCCGTATGTGGCTCCCTCGTCTGGTTTGCTGATGTCTTGTTTGTACCACACATCCTTTGTGCTGCCAATACTGCTAGTTGTCAGTGTGTATAAACCTTTTTATTATGGAAAATTTCAAATGTTGGTCTTTATAACTACAGTGAAATTTGGTTGCTGTCTAATCTTTCAGCTGAAGTGCCACAATCATTGCTGTCTCATTTACCATCCTCTGCTCTCCTCCAATGCTGCAGGAACGTGCTCCTGCGCACCTGTTTAGGAGAATGAATGGCAGCTCCTTTCCAAGGACAGCTTGGAAATCCCTGGTGTAGGGTGGTTTCATATTTACAATGTTGATTTATCTTTGAAGATAAAAACTTGAGTTGTTTATTAAAGGTAAAGGAGGCCAGGTGTGGTGGCTCAGGCCTATAATCTTAGCACTTGGGGAGGCTGAGGCAGGATGATCCCTTGAGGTCAGGAGTCTGGAGTATAAGACTAGCCTGAGCAACACAGCGATAGTGAGGCCCCTTCCCTGCAAAAAAAGGAAATTGTTGGTGCTATGGTAGTTTCCTGTAGTCCCAGCTGCTCAGGAGGCAGAGGGATCCTTGAAGCCCAAGAGTTCGAGGTTGCTGTGAGCTATGATGAAGCCACTGCACTCTAGCCCAGGCAACAGAGCAAGACCCTGTCTCCAAAAAAAAAAAAAAAAAAAACAGTACCTCTTGGAAATTCTCAATTCTCAAGTCTTCATTTCCTTTAGGAATATTTTAATATAATTGCGTGGAATGGTATTTCAGGAAAAGGCTGTCGTTATTTTGTAGACTTTGATTTAAAAGCTGCTTTGTTCAAGTAAGTTTCCTCTTGTTCGTAGTATTATCATTACCGGTATGGGTTAGATTTCCGATGCCTGAGATACCCTGGAATCATTTCAGCTGACTCCCAACCTGGAGGAGGAACAACTGGTAAGTGTTTTCTGGTTCTTTTATCCCTTGTGTGTAAAATAGGCTTTCTTATTGCTAGGAAGAGTTGTCATCATGGTGAACGAATCTGCTCTGTTTTTAGTTGTGTGCTGTCCTGAGGTATGATAGATGTTTGACAAAGGCAGGATTTTTTTTTTTTT